TTCCTTTGCAGTAAACGTGTTTTGCACTTAATTTGAAAAAATATTGCGAAATCCGGAATCTGCCTTGGTCGTTTTGTGGTGAGCGAAAAATCAAAAAATGAAAAAAAAAAAACCATCTCCGAGTTTGTCTGGCGGCAGTTGGGAAATCAAAAATGAGGAGAAATTTGGCCTGATTTCTAGGATTCAAAATAACAGGCCTAATTTCTAGGATTTCTGGGTTTTTTCGTGATTTGAAAAAGCAGTGATTGACGTTGAAAGGCAGTGTCTTCAATTTATATTTATAAAGTCAAAGTTTAAAAAAACGAGGCAATTTTAGTATTTCCGGCATCTCTTTTTTTTCAGGTTACTGATGTTTTCATTCCACGTCCATTCCGCTCATTCGCTTTCGTCAACTTCTCGACCGCTGCAGTCGCCAAAGAAATGATCAAGTAAAGCTAATGCAAAATTTGATATAGATTATGTGCATGATAATTTGTCGGACATGGCGTAATGCAGACAGCACTGCTGCTTTTGTGCTACAGGCTGGGAGTGCAGCGCTGCTTTCGTGCTGCAGGTAGGGAGTGCAGCGCTGCTTTCGCACTACAGGTTGGGAGTACAGCACTGTTGTATTTCTGATCGAAAGTGCAGCGCTACTTTCGTGCTGCAGTTAGAGAGTGTAGTGCTGCTTTAGTGCTGTAATTCGAAAATGCAGCGCTGCTTTAGTGCTGTAATTAGAAAGTGCAGCGTTGAAGAGTTCGCCTCTTCCAGTAGGACAACCATTCCCTCTACGATTCGTTCATTTATTTTAGTGGCACCGGTGCTTAAAATGCTGCTTAGCATTGCGCTTCGGCCAGTGCCACAGGGATTTCGGTTCAAAATTTTTTGCTTTTTTATCTAAAATGCATAAGATTGTTGCGGATTTTTTGACTTGGTCTTTTTGTTAACGTGTGTACTATTTTTGTGAATTTTTTTAGGCAGGGCGATTTCATCATTGAAGGCTCATCGGTAGCAGTGAGTGCTGCAGCACCGCGTGAATCGGAAATGTCACCACGATACGGAAATTTTGGAGTGGCCGGTCAGGGACGAACTACACGCCGATTCGCTGACAAATATGGCTATTCGCCAGACACTGTTAGTTTCTAATGAAAAATTATTCTTAAATATTTGGTGGTAAGTGGTTTTTTGTACTGGAAAACATGACTAATGTTGAGATGCTTTTTGTACGGTTTTTACGGAATAAGAGATTGTCTTGTGTGTTTTTTCGGGGTGTAAGGGAAGGAAAGGGGAAGGGGAGGGGGTCAGTTTTTCATGCCTAAATCAAGGGGTTTTTGCAGTATTCAGCACGGTTTTGGGGAAGGATTGGAAGGTTCGAGTTTGGAGCTTTATTCGTTCCGATAGTAATTTCGTTCAAGAAGCCAGCTGCATTTTTTTTTTTT